CTCTGTTGTTGTTGTTTTTGTGAAGGAGCGTCTGTCAAGAAAGTAGTGAAATGGACATGACTCACGCCATACCATTTCTATTTAGAAGAATTTGAATATTTCAATATCATTCAAGTGAGTAAATTTCCTAATATTGTCATTTTTGATTAATAAACCCACCTATTCCTTAGGTCACGTTTCTAGGATGAACATCCCAAAATACTTCATTTCAACTGTTATCACTACACCTATCCTCTCAATTATAGTAGTAATTTTAGATTTTTGATATATGTTTCTATTTTGGATTTTGCATCTGTAATCTACAAAGTATTTTGCCTCATTTGGAGTGGTGTGATTTTAGGTTTTTCCTTTCAAGGACATTGATAATGTTTTTGTATATTTTGTTTGCTTACAGAAATGAGGATTTGCACTTAGAAATTAAAGTTCAAGCAGAACGATGGGATCTGTACAGCGGGCATTTGCCCAGAAACTGACAAAACAACATGCCTCTGATGTAAGGCGTCAAATAGCCGCTACATCATATTCAAGGGACGCCACCAAGACAGGAAGTGGAGCATCGGGTTTATCTTCTACTGTTTCTCTTGGTGATGTAGTCGATCCTCTCGATTATGAGGACTTTATCCAGCAACATCAACTCCTTATTGACCGTGACCCTCTCCGGCCTATGCTTGATTTTCCTGTGAATGATATTGAAGTAAGTAGTGAGTCACTTCACATATGATATCATGTTTATTTTTCTATTCAATTAATTCTTGTATTTTTTTTTTTTTTGTTTCTCTTGTTAGGTTGGAGTGATTCCACGAAAAATTCGCACAGAAGCACCAGTTTTACCAGAAGAACCTCTATCTGAACTCTCTCCTCAAGTTCGTGATTGTGTCGAAAGTTACACACGAGACTGGATAGTCGTAGATTATCGTTTTCGTCACCATTCTAGCAGTGCTTTTTCCCAAGACAGATCAGAGGAACGTCTCACAACATTGCAAAATATCCCCCATCAAGAATTTGAGGTTGATGGAGAAGCAGTCCCAACTGCTAATCCATCGGGACGTTTGTCAGTCACATCTGCTGACACCCCTCGAGGGAGTTGGGCCAGTTTTGATCTCCAGAATTCAGTTAGTGATCCTGTGATATCAGGTCTCCTTGAAAGAACTGCACCTGAGACTATTGACAAACTCAATGAATCCCGTCGGCAAGAGGGGAGGCAAGATGCTTTATTCTCATTGTATCCACAGCAAGATGAAGAAGATATGATTGAAAGAAGGATCTCAGCAGACATTCCAAATGAGCACATGGGTCACCGTATCCTAGTGAAATGTCTTCAGCTTAAGCTAGAATTGGAAGTGGAACCAATATTCGCATCAATTGCACTATATGACTGCAAAGAAAAAAAAAAGATATCTGAAAACTTTTATTTTGACATGAATCAGGAAGGCCTCAAAAGAATGCTAACATCTCATATACCTTACAGTGACAGCAGCACCTTGAGCAGATCATGCATTTTTGACATTACTTATCCATCGCCTGATTTGTTTCTTGTCATAAAACTTGAAAAGGTTCTACAGGGTGATATTAATGAATGTGCTGAACCATACATGAAAGATGACAAAAACCGTGAGAAAGTTAAAGCAAATGCTGTTGCAGCTTGTGAAAGGCTAGGAAAGTACCGGATGCCTTTTGCTTGGACTGCAATTTATGTCATGAACATTATAAGCGGTGTAAACAGCCTTGAGCGAGATTCTGGTAGTGACAAAGAAGGTAGTGCCTCCAACAGCTTGGACCGGAAACACAGCAATACTAGTTTAGAGCAGTTGAAGAAGAGAGCTTCTGACATGGGCACCCTCACTCGACGAGGATCTCTAGAAAGGCGCAGTGGATCTGAAAAAAGGCGCAGCTGGTCACCTGAAGACTTTGGTTCAAGTTTGGATACATTCCGACCAGTTACTCTAACCGTTTCGAGTTTTTTCAAACAAGAACAAGACAGACTGAGAGACGAAGACTTGTACAAGTTTTTGGTGGACCTCAAGCGCCCATGTTCAGTTTTAAAGAAGAAGTGTATACCTGGTACTTTAAAATTGGATATCTCCCCTTGCCCGGATGACATACCATACAGCTTGACACCGGAGCTGGCGAGGATCAATCCCTACCCAGATGAAAAAGGCCGACCCACGAAGGAAATCTTAGAGTTCCCTCCGAGAGAAATGTTCATCCCGCACTACTCTTACCGCAACTTGTTGTACGTCAGCCCCAAGGACCTGAACTTTGCTGGGCGGACAGGGTCGGCGCGTAACATCGCCGTCAAGATGCAGCTCATGTGCGGCGAGGAGGAGCACAACGCCATGTCGGTCATCTTCGGCAAATCGTCGTGTCCAGATTTCGCTTCTGAGGCGTACACCACCGTCAGCTACCATAGCAAGTGCCCTGACTTTTACGACGAGTTCAAACTCAAACTGCCGGCAAACCTGGGGGATCAGCACCACCTCCTGTTCACCTTCTACCACATCAGCTGCCAGCGCAAGGAAGAGAAGACGACGGTAGAGACACCCGTCGGCTACACTTGGCTGCCAGTGTTCCGCGACGGCCGCCTTCAGACGGGGGAGTTCTGCCTGCCCGTCATGATGGAGCACCCGCCGCCCAACTACTCGTACATCCCCCCGGATGTGCTGCTGCCGGGCACCAAGTGGGTCGACAACCACAAGGGCATCTTCGTTGTCGTATTGGATGCCTTGTCTTCGGTCCACACTCAAGACAAGTATTTGGACAAGTTCCTGGGGCTGTGCGCCGCTCTCGAGGACGGGTCCATCCCGCCACGCATTGGCGAGGCCAACATGGAGGGCGCGCTCAAGGCCAGCATACTAGAGCTGACGCACGCCAAGTCCGAGCCGCTCGTCAAGTTCCTCCCCGTCATCCTGGACAAGCTGCTACTACTGCTGGTGCGCCCGCCCGCTGTCAGCGGCCAGCTCATGAACATCGGCCAGACCACCTTCGAGGCGCTGGCCAGCTTGGTGAAGAGCATCACGGCGCTGCCAGAGGGGCAGGGGGAAGTCCAGCGGGACCAGCACGGGCGGCACAGCCTGCTCACGGCCTACATCACGTACCAGTGCGCGCTGCCCCACCCGGCCGAGGGCGCCGCCCAGCCCACCCTCACGGACCTGGGGCTGTCCCCGCCGCCGCTGCGCTCCACCAGTAACCCCAACCTGCACGGCCTCGCGGAGGAGGAGGCTCTGCTGTCCCCCACGGCCGGCGGTGCCCCTGGCGGCGCCGCCGCGGCTGCGCGGGGGCTGGACCGCACGGCCAGCATGCGCACCGCCGTGGGGCCCAACATGGTGCCCAGCGTGGTGGCGCTGCGCCTGGTGCACGAGGAGCTGGCCCTGCAGTGGGTCGTGTCGAGCGGCGCGGCGCGCGAGCTGGCCATGGCTAACGCGTGGTTCCTGCTCGAGCTCATGGTCAAGAGCATGGTGGAGCACCTCGCCGCCACGGACGGGCTGGACGCGCCCCGGCGGACGCCCGGCCGCCTGTCGGAGCAGTTCACGGACGACGTGACGACCCTCGTGTCCACGCTCACGTCCGACATCATCTCGCGCTGCAGCAAGGATCCACGCCTCGCGCAGAGCATGAACGCCAGTCTGGCCTTCTTCCTGTTTGACCTGCTGTCGGTCATGGATCGTGGCTACGTGCTGTCCCTCATCAAGACCTACTACAAGCAGATGTCGGCCAAGATCTCATCCCTGCCCGACGCTGTCGGACTGATCGGCCTCAAGGTGGACTTCCTCCGGATCGTGTGCAGCCACGAGCACTTTGTGCCGCTCAATCTGCCCTTCGGGACGCCCTTCACACCCAGCTCGGCGCCGTGCTCGCCCACGCCCTCCGTCACCTCCTCCAACAGCCAGTCGTCGTTCATCTCGACGCTGGTGGGAGGGGACAGGACGAGCTTCTCCGAGCTGTCGCTCGAGTTCCGCCAGCAGCACTTCCTGGTCGGGCTCGTCCTGGGGGACCTGGCCGCCGTGCTCACCCTGCCGCACGCCCAGCTGCACGCCAAGGCCGTGAACATGGTGCGCAACCTGCTGACCGGCCACGACAGCGATCCCCGCTACGAAGACTCGGAGTGCCGCGCCCGCGTCGCTGCCCTGTACTTGCCCCTCCTCACCATCGTCATGGACAACCTGCACCAGCTGCACGGCTGGCGGGAGCGGGGGCGCTCCTTGCTCTCGCCCGCTCTAGAGGACGGCCCCGAGCCGCAGCCGGGCATCAACCAGTCGGTGGCCATGGCCATCGCGGGGACGTCCATGTTCGGCGCGCGCACCGTGGAGCCGTACGATCCGTACGCCCAGCCCAGGAAGACCAGCCTGTCGGCGGACACGACGCGTCACCTGCTGGGCTGCTTCTTGTGGGTGCTCAAGAACATGAACAAGACCCTCCTGAAGCAGTGGTGGACCGAGCTGCCGCCGCAGCGGTTTCACCAGCTGCTGGAGACACTGTACGTGGGGAGCTACACGTTCGAGTACCAAGGCAAGCGCGAGATCCTGAAGCGCTGCGCCCCGCAGACTCTCGCCAAGACCACGGACGCCAAGTCCAAGCTCGAGGACATGATCCTGGGTCAGAGCTCAGCCCGAAATGAAATGATGCTCCGCCACAAGGTCGCCGGCGGCGGGTCCCCCGGCGGCCCGGGGTCGCCCGGAGTGACTGGAGGCGCCAGCACGGAGCGCCTGCGCTGGCGCAAGGAGCAGATGGCGTACCGCCCGAACACCGAGGCGAGCGACCGGCCCGCCGCCGACGTGGAGGCCGACGCGCACCTGGAGGGCAACCTGGCCACGGAGGTGAGCCTCGTGATCCTGGACACGCTGGAGCAGATGGTGGCCGTGGCGTCCCGCTCGGACGCCCTACAACCCCTCCTCGGCGCCGTGCTCAAGGTGTTGCTGCACGCGCTCGCCCGCCACCAGAGCTCCACTGTGCTGAGGCACATGTTTGCCACGCAGCGGGCGCTCGTCTTCAAGTTCCCCAACCTGCTGTTCGACGAGGAGACCGAGCAGTGCGCTGACCTGTGTCTCCAGCTGCTGCGCCACTGCAGCTCCAACAGGGCTGCCGTGCGCTCACAGGCGTCCGCCTCGCTGTATTTGCTCATGAGGCAGAACTTCGAGATCGGCAACAACTTTGCGCGCGTCAAGATGCAGGTGACGATGTCGCTCAGCTCCTTGGTCGGCACGAGCCGCACCTTCAGCGAAGAATCGCTCCGCCGGTCGCTGAAGACCATCCTGGTCTACGCGAGTGGTGATGCAGAACTGCAGGAGACGACGTTCCCCGAGCAAGTCAAGGACCTCGTGTTCAACCTGCACATGATCCTGTCGGACACGGTCAAGATGAAGGAGTTCCAGGAAGACCCGGAGATGCTGCTCGACCTCATGTACCGCATCGCCAAGGGCTACCAGAACTCTCCGGACTTGCGCCTGACCTGGCTGGCCAACATGGCGCAGAAGCACATGGAGCGCAACAACCACACGGAGGCCGGCATGTGCCTGGTGCACTCTGCTGCGCTCGTGGCCGAGTACCTCCACATGCTGGAGGAGCGGCCGCACCTGCCGCTGGGCGCCGTGGCGCTGGAGAGGGTCACACCCAACGCGCTGGAGGAGAGCGCCGTGTCCGACGACGTGGTGAGCCCGGAGGAGGAGGGCATCTGCCTGGGTAAGGATTTCACGGAGAGCGGTCTGGTGGGTCTCCTGGAGCACGCTGCCGGCTCCTTCAACCTGGCCGGCATGTACGAGGCCGTCAACGACGTGTACAGCATCCTCATCCCTATGGCCGAGGCCAACCGCGACTACAAGCGGCTCGCCAGCATCCACCACAAGTTGCACGAAGCCTTCACGCGCGTCGAGCAGCTTCAGGGCAAGCGCGTGTTTGGGACGTACTTCCGGGTCGGGTTCTACGGCTCCAAGCTGGGCGACCTGAACGGAGAGGAGTTCATCTACAAGGAGCCGACGCTGACCAAACTGCCCGAGATCTTCAGCCGCCTGGAAAACTTCTACGCTGAGCGGTACGGCACCGACAACGTCCAGATCATCAAGGACTCGAACGCCGTGGACCAAAGCACGCTGGACCCGGATAAGGCCTACATCCAGATTACCTACGTGGAGCCCTACTTCGAACCTTACGAGCTTCGACACCGACAAACTTACTTTGACCGCAACTTCAACATCAAGCGCTTCGTGTACGCCACGCCGTTCACCCCCACGGGCCGTGCCCATGGCGAGCTTCACGAGCAATACAAGCGCAAGACCATTTTGACCACTGCCAACCACTTTCCTTATGTCAAGACCAGGATTCAGGTAGTGAGCCGCAAGGTGATAGAGCTCATCCCCATCGAGGTGGCCATCGAAGACATCCAGAAGAAGACAGCCGAGCTGGCTCAGTCTATCCACCAGGAGCCGCCAGATCCTAAGATTCTGCAGATGGTGCTTCAAGGCTGTATTGGAACCACTGTCAATCAAGGCCCTATGGAGGTAAGATATTGCATTCCAGACTAATATGCTTGTAATATTTGAAAAAGTAAAAATTATTAATATCCTTGTTTCTTTCCCTTTTCCAGGTGGCTCTTGTCTTTCTCTCAGATTTAGTTGATGGACAGAAAGCACCCTCAAAGTTCCAGAATAAGCTAAGGCTATGCTTTAAGGATTTCTCCAAAAAGTGCTCTGATGCTCTGCGCAAGAACAAAAATTTGATTGGGCCTGATCAGCGTGACTATCAAAGAGAGCTTGAGCGAAACTATCATAGGTTTAGTGATAGACTCATGCCATTAATCACTTTGAATAATATTGCTGGACGGAACCGCAAGTGAACAATTTTACACTACATAGTGTGACATAAAATTGTAAGATTTTGAACATTTTAAGCCCTTTTATGGACTGTTAAGTAGCCGCTTTAGCCGGAACTGATTTTATTTATTTTGACATGTTTATTAATCCACCAATTTTTATTTTATTCACAAGTGCATATTTCACATTTGTGTTGATGTTATATTTGGTTCTGGCCAAATGTGTGAAATTATATTCCCAATATTTTGTTTTGTTTTTCATTCCTTTAAATTTTGATTTACTTCAAAAAAATTCTTGTAATAAGTTAAGATCAGCACTGCATTCATTTTTCTCTCATCGGGCTGTACTAAGAAATCGGTTTTCAAGAACTTTTTCCCTTTATTTTGTGACAAATGGCTTATTGTATGTAATAGGTATACTGTTTATGAGGGTATTTACTTTTTTAAAGTACTGTACGTTATAAAGTTAGGCATTGACTGCAGGAAGACTGAAGTCAGGTGACTTACATGTGCTCAGTGTATCTTCATCTTTTTCATTTTCATTCATTCTTTTTTGCAGTAATCTTCACAGGGTGGTTCCCGCAGGCATGCATGTGTCTATGGATTCTCTAGTCGTCCCTTTGCTTTCTCTGTAAAGTCCCAAATATGAACTGCCTGTATTACGTATTGTATTGATTATTCAGAATTACTTTACGGTGTGGTATCATCATTAGTTTAAGCTATTTGCAAATTGATTTCTAAGATTTCCAAAGCTTAGTGTGATAGTTCAATGCCATTTCCTTGTTTATTTAATTGTCTGAAAGGATGTTATTGCTTCAAAGGATGTTACCTAGCAGTATTTTCTCTTTTAATTTAGAAAATTTATGACATTATTTTTTGGTGTCTTTTTTCCTTTCTATTGCACCAATTTTCTAACCTAATATTATCATGAAACGCATTATTACATGCTCAAATGTTCTTGTTGAACTTGTAACTAAAGTCTGCATTTTATCTCTTCAAACTACTGTATTTTCTGAATCATTTGAATTTTGAGTCTAATGTGTCGCGACAAGTGCTTGAAAAACTGCCTTGCACAATGCTTAACTGATTCCTTTGGCAGCTTCACTTTAGCAAAAAAAATTGAGAGCTCTTGTATCACCACATACTTTCATAGTAAGATGTACAGTTGCTTTTTGTAAATTGTTAATATTGTGGTCTCATTATTTAATCTGTCAAATTTTGTATGGACCAGCAATGTTTTATTCAGGAAGGAAAAAGCCACACTGAAAATAGAACTGACTTCAATTTATAGACCATCGTCTCACTAATTATTTTATGTGGAATCGAGGGCGGCACATGGTACTAGCAGCTGTGCTGCCTTCCTTGAACCCATGTGTCGCTCTCCTATTTTCATTCGATGACTGTTAGCTGTAGTTTTGTACAATTTTTAAAATCCTGAGGCAATAAACTGCTACTCTCTACTCTTCGTGTCATTCCCTCATTTCTTAAATCACTTGGGCGACAGTTGGCTGCCATGCCGGGGCCGGGCCATCCCCTTGATCCGAGCAACCCCCTAACTTTTACAACCTTGTTTTGTTTTTGTTTTTTGCCGCCCTCTGGCCTTCCTCCCCTACGCACTGCTTGCGTCACCGCGGGGCCTGGTGCGAGAGAAGACCGCAGCCCAGCCAAGTGACAAACAATTTCACATTCCATTGGGCCCTCCGCTGGAGCCTGCGCTGGAGCTGGCCCGGGGCGCGGGGCGCACTGCGTCGCGGTGGCGGTCCCCGCCCTACCCGCCCCACCGCCTAGGGATCGCGAGAGGTCCCCGATAGCGAAGCTTGTACCGTGCGCCGCGCGACCCCCTCGCGCTAGACCCACTGACGTGCAAGTGCGCGCACCGCCCACGCCACTCGCGGGCGGCCGCGCCGCTTCCAGCGAGCCAAAGCAATATCTGCGTCGTATCGCTGGCCGAACTGACACCCCCACACCCTGTTTGCGACATCGACGCGGGGCGCATCTGGACAAGGGGACGCGGCGGGAATGAGATTCGAATTGGAGGGAGTCCGCTCCATCTGCTACCGAGTTAGGGCAGGGCCGCCGTCGACCGCAGAGGGAAAGGCGGGACCCCTCCCTTCCCCTCCCCGGACGCTCCCCGGGGCCTGCAGACTGATTCCGAAGAGACCTCAAGGGGCGCTGCTCTATGAGTGTTACAAGGACAGAGCAGGACGGAGCTATGCGGAAGGTATAGGAGAGGGTTCTTCGGAATCAGCCGGCTGAGCGCGGCTGCCGCCACTGCCGCGGCCGCCGTACTCACAGGTGGCCGCCCCGCACGTAGCACCTCCCCGGCGTGACGTGGCGGGGCGCGGCCCCCCGGCGGCCGGCTGGAGGCCTGGCGGCCGCCGATAAGGGGTAACCGCTTCGCAGACTGATTTTACCGAGCGTGGCGCAGGCGCGACCCGGCGCAGCTGAGCGCGCGCGGAGGCACTGGGGCGTGGTATTGGGCACAGGACGTCACGGGACCCGACCGCGGGGTAGCGGTGGTGGACGGGGCAAGGCGGGGCGGGGTGGGGCGGGCCAGGCCAGGGTGGCGCGCGTGAGCACGGGCATGCACTAGCCCCCCGGGTGGGACCTGGCTGCCGCAAAGCGCCGTGCTGGGTAGGCAAACAGTGTTGATGAGCGCAGGGGGGGCACGCGGATTGCCTACTCCAACCCTGACAGGCCGAGGCCCCTGGCTGGGTAGGCACCTCTGGGGTTTGCAGCACATCGCAGCCGAGCGGGTTGCCTATTCCCGCACCGACAGGCTGAAGGCGCCTGGCTCGGTAGGCAATATCAGAGTCCTCAACGCAGAGCGGAGAAGCGGGTTGCCTACCCCGCGGCTGTAAGGCGCTTCGGTTACTGTTCGGCATACTGCTTTTGCGCAGGAGGGGGCGCCAAACGAACGAGGCGATTGGTCGTGCGACGCGGGGGCGCCCGGGAGCCTCAGCTGGCTCTCTGGGTCTCCGCGGGGGGTGAGCGGCGGGGGTGCGGGGGTGCTGCCGGCGCTGGGTGCGTCGCCGTGCGCGGCGCCTCCCCGCGGTCTATAAAAGCCCTCCGGCGCCGGAGCATCCCCACAGTGCGCCGCGAACGCTTCCCTGGAACGCCAGCGAAGCCCTCACACCAACCCGATCAGCTGCGCAGTCCGCCAGGCGACCCCTTTGCGCCCAGAAGTCCTCCTCCGAGTAGAACTGGCCCCAGCAGGTGAGTGGCCCATTTAGCCATTGTCCGGTTAAAACTGTGATGAGATGCGGTCAGTTCAAGTGTTGTGTGGACAAGTACAATTTTTTGGAAACGTAAGTGTTATGGAAACGTGATAGACAGGGTGGTCCATAGACCCCTTCCTTTATTCTGCTTACACTGTACCGAATGCAGGCGTGCGGGCGGGCTTGCCTACCGTCACTCACCACGGCGCCTTATGGCTCCGTGTGGGTATGCAACCCACCAGCGCTCCTGCATGCGGACAGTAAAGTCTAAGCAAAATAAAGGAAGGGGTTGGTGGGCCACCCTGTATATGGGGACGTAAGTTTTATGGAAACGTCATTCCATGCACAATTTCATGCGAAACGACGTGATACTGATATTGCGAAATAATACAACTGCCATGGCATACAACTGCTTTCGAGTATATAATGAGTCTGGTTGCGCATTAGCCGTGGGTCGAGTGTCTGTACAGTGCGTGGCGTGTGTCTGGCCCAGGTGTGATGAAGCGGCCGAGGCTGCGCATCCTGTCGGCGCTGCTCCTGTACCTGTGGCTCGGCGCCCCGGCCGTGGCGTGGGGCGACGCGGCGGGGCTCACCGGCACTCCCACCGGCAACGACCTCCTGGCGAACGACAAGTAAGTCGAGTGATTTGACGACTTATGGTTTGGTGGATGGATAAAACCTTCTTACCTTTTGTGATTACATCCTGGCTCTCTATATGTTCCCCTCAGATATGTGTACGACTTGACAAACGACCTTCATGATGCGGTGTCCGAGGACGCGTCCGCCAGCCCGCTTGATGAGGCGCGGCACTTCGACGGCGGCCTCGAACGCCGCGTCGTATCCGAGCGTCGGCTGGACGACGCCCGACGCGTTGAAGTGAGTCGGGACGCCCTGCGACGAAGCGACGAGCGACGAAGTGCGGAGCGTCGTGTGGAGGGGCGGCGCAGCGCGGGGCGTCGAACCGACGAACTCCGAGCCGACGAGCGACAGAGCGCCGAGCGGCGGGCCGACGAGCGACGCGTGGTTGAACGACGAGCCGACGAACGACTCGAGGACCGCGCAGACCGCCGCATGGACGACAGCCGTCGCGGTGCTCGTTCTCTGAACCGGCGTGCCGACACCGAGCGTCGACTGAGGCGTGAGGTCCGCTCGCTAGACCGGCGCGCCGAACGACGCAACGACGCATCCAGGCGACTTGACGAAGAGCGGTCCGATGTGCGCCAGGTTGACCGGCGCGCAGACCAAGGTCCCCGACAACTTCGTCGAGAAGAGGCCCGCCGGACCAACGACCGACTCGATCAGGCAACGAGAGAGGTACATACCGCTCGGCAACGCGAAGGCCTGCGCGACTCTCTCGAGCGCCGGGTCGAAGAAGCTCGACTGGAACGCAGTGAAGCCCGCCGGGAAGTCCGCTCCATCGAACGACGAGCAGACAGACGGGACAACGAGGAGAGACAGGTGCGATCCCTCCGACGAGACAATAACCAGGCTGCCCGATCTCTCGAACGCCGAGCAGAGAGGCGAGTAGACGAGGAGCGACAGGTGCGATCCCT